GAGTGGTTTTCCTCCCCTGTGAGACCCTAGACCACACTTTTCAGAAGAAGCCCCGGCCACCCGAAGTCCTAGCCCCCCTAGCCCCAGCGGCTTCCCAGAAGAGCAGCCGGCCTGGGCTGGGGCCAACTAGGCAAGCAGGAGGGGGCCTTGGGGTGGAGCATGGGCGGAGCCACGCAGGGCTGTTTGGGGAGGCCTTCCCCTGCCTATGCTACCCACCACCCACGCACATGAGCTTAAGTAAGTTAGCATAAGTATAGTGGGGCTGTGTCCCTTGGCATGGATGAATGGGAACTAGGAACAGCTTGCACAATAGCAGAAGTTGGAACCTAACAGAACATTGAAGCGATACTGTGCTGGGATATTTTAGGATAGAATCGTGGGCAGATATCCAACCACAAACTTGCTTGAGCAATAGGGGACGTATATGATAATGAGTTAAATGGCATTCATAGGTAAAGGCACCTATGAGGGTGTGGAAGTTAGACTTGAACATGGAAGGCTGGGCATTAGAGTGAATATTCCTGAGAGTGCTCAGGCTGTAGGTGACGGGGGCCCGTTCACCTCTCGTGAGCACCCTGCCGGCCGGGTGTTTCTCCACCTGCACGCTCTGTTTCACATTACTTGTGGTGGCCCCTCTTGATAGTTAAACTCCTTGAACAGGTTTTCAGTGACTCGGCCCTCGGGCTGAGTCATATCCAGTCTGTTCAGTGTGCAGAGAAAACAGACCCCTTCCAGGGTACAAGTCCAACTTCTCACAGCGCCCTCTGTAACGTCTCGGTCTGGCGCCCTGTCTCCGGGCTCAGTGAGCCCTATCGTGGTACCTTGATTAGCCTCAGCCCCTACTGGGCTAACTTCCAGTGGTACCTGCTCTGTGACGGAGAGTGCACCAGGGCTCCTGCCTGGTGACTCTTTGCTCCGTAGCTGAGTCACTAGTTCAGTATGAGCCCCTCCCCCCATTGCGGTTAACTAAGTTCAATTAAATGCTGACCCTCGCTGTGCCTCAGTTTCCTCTCTATTGTGTGATTCCAAGCAACTCATTTCCCCTCTTTCTGCCTTCCTTCCCTCCCATCCGCTTGTCTGTCTGGGCTTGGTTAAGCTCCCTTGTCTGGGCTTAAGCCACTCTGCCTGTTTATGGGGGTGGGGGAGGGACCCAGGCCCACTCACTACTCCAGGTCACAACCCACGGAGACTATAAGAAGCAGCCACCGGCTGGCTGCTGCGTTTCCCTGGGCCACTTCCCTTCTTAGCCCGAGCACCTTCAACTTCACCCATACCTCAGGGCTGAAATCTTGCTTGAATCCCAGTCATCAACCAGGAGCACCATCCTCACTCCTCTGGCTCCAGCCAACAACTGATTTTCTCTGGCCAGCTGTTCCTTTTATAGGAGCCTGCTGGGCTCTGATTGGCTGCTTCCCCTCCGTCTCTCTAGGCAGCCTGAAGGACCCACCTCTACTGCTTTTTCCTGGATCAGGGTGAGGTAGGACAGCGAGGCCTCCAGCAGGGGGCCCCAAAGAGCCTGATGCACCCCATCACACCCTGTAATAGGGCAAAACACCATGTGGAGGGGGTTAGCTTCCCATCATCGGACCCTTCAGCTCTATTGTTATCTACCATCAATTTGGGGCATTGTGGAACCTGGACCATCAGACTTTTCGACATTACAGAGGCAGGGCTTGTCCTTTGTCTCTCATCATCAGGTCCAAGGAAGGGTGTGAGTAGGCAAGTCTAAGAACATATGCAAAGAATTATACCGCAGGTATCTCCGATACTGTATGTATGGTTTGGAACTTTTCTGTCTTTATTACTGATACTAATAAAATTCACTAAGGCTTTGCTTTGCCCTCAGTGTGAGTGTCCCCGCCATACACCCCGAGGTTCCTGACAAGATATTGAACTCATTGATTTTAATTCTATGTAGCTTGATTCTGGGACAAGAATCCTATTGCCCTCAGTTCATTGGCACTCAGTACAGGATTAACAACTGTTAAAAAGAATCAGGCAACAGTGGCCAATAAGGATTTCTGGGTTCTGTTTCCAGTTCTTCCACTGCCTTGCTGTGTGACCTAGGGCCGTTCCTGTGCCTCAGTTTCCCCATCTATTATGTGACCTTGAGCAACTCGTTTCTCCTCTTTCTGCTTTCCTTCCCCTTCCATCCTCTCTCTGTCTGGTCTATTTACTGGCAGGTGTTCGTGGCAGAGGCTGTGTCTGCATTGCCTAGCACAGTGGAGCGCCAATATCACCCTGAGTGCTACTGTAACACAAATAATGAGCTTTCTTGTTCAGCTGCAATTCCATTCCGTCTGCCAATTCAATTGCCTGATACTTTCTCACCCCCAACAACAGGGCAATGTGATACACGTCTACCTCGATATAACACGACCTGATATAACACGAATTCGGATATAACGCGGTAAAGCAGTGCACGGGGGGGGGGGCGGGGCTGCTCACTCCGGTGGATCAAAGCAAGTTCGATAGAACGCGGTTTCACCTATAACACGGTAAGATTTTTTGGCTCCCGAGGACGGCATTATATCGGGGTAGAGGTGCATATGCCAGCAATGCCCCTGTGCCATGTACATTGGCCAAACTGGACAGTCTCTACGCAAAAGAATAAATGGACACAAATCTGACATCAGGAATCATAACATTCAAAAACCAGTAGGAGAACACTTCAACCTCTCTGGTCACTCAGTAACAGACTTAAAGGTGGCAATTTTGCAACAGAAAAGCTTCAAAAACAGACTCCAACAAGAAACTGTTGAACTTGAATTAATATGCAAACTAGATACCATTAACTTAGACTTGAATAGAGACTGGGTGTGGCTGGGTCATTACACAAATTGAATCTATTTCCCCATGTAAGTATTCTCACACCTCTTGTCAACTGTCTGAAATGGGCCATCTTGATTATCACTACAAACGTTTTTTTTTCTCCTGCTGATAATAGCCCACCTTAATTAATTAGCCTCTTAGAGTTGGTATGGCTACTTCCACCTTTTCATGTTCTGTATGTATATATATATATATATATATATATATATATATATATATATATAT